CTCCGTATGTGGAAGAGAAAAACAGATGATAGGGCAGTACGTCTGGTAAAGATGGTGTAAATAACAACAGAGTCTAATACAGTCCTACTCACGTTTAGTAGAGCTTAAGCCAGCTCTAGTATAAATAGCGTACAGTGGTATAATCCCCGCGTGTAGGATGCGTGTAGAGGGTTAAGTCTTTTGCTGATATATATATATCATAAGGGAGAAGAGAGACAACTAATAGTGCTCGCTGTATAAAAACTCATATAATGAGTATAAATAATAAAATGTGTACTCACATAGGATTGAGCAGGTGGACTGCTCAATGACTTAGGCGTGAGTGGTATAATCCCCACCTCGGATGTCTTTGGAGTAATACTCAGCAGGAGAGATAAAATCAGGATACCAAGCAAAATTAAAAATAATGAATAAAAGAGTAAAATGGCAATATCAGAGTGATTTAAAAGTAGCCAAAATACCTTTATTTGGAATACAGAATAAAATATACAAAATATCCACAACGCGTTTCACCTATAGTGGCTTTATCAAGTGGAGACAAAAAAATATGCTTGGTAGGGTAGGGTTTATATAGGGGGACTGATTTTAAACAGTTAATGAGGTTTGGCGCCTAAATGACGTCATCATGTAAGGTGCATTTTCAAAATACAAAAAAAACTATATTTATATATACAGTAGACGTCAGGGCAGCTTCCCCTAAAGTTTGAAGTTAAACTTGAAGTTTTAACTTCAAACTGTAGGGGAAGCTGCCCTGACTTCTACTGTATATATATATATATATATATATATATATATATAGTTTATTTTGTATTTTGAAAATGCACCTTACATGATGACGTCATTTAGGCGCCAAACCTCTTTTAAAAGAGTAGCTGCCACACAAGAAACAATTAAATCTTGGAATTTATAGGGAAATAATTTATAGTTTAATCCTTTAGCTCCCTGCAGAAGGAGAGAGGACGGGGGAAGTGTCAATTTTCATTATTATAAGAAAAATAGTCAGCATGCTATTTGGATCATATATGGCTTTCCTATTGTCGGTGAATCGTATTTACATTATTTTGTGTAATTGTGTTTCTATTTAGGTAGCAGGAAGGGTAATGTTTTTTTTTTAATTTTAAGGCTTTGAAGGAGAAATCTTAGGATATTAAAGATGACACACTAATGAGTCATCTGGCTATTTCTATAACTTTTGATAGGGGTTTTATTTTTGGTAGTCATAGGCACTTGTTTGATTCTTTAATATTTACATGGTTAACACTATGGGAAGAATTTGGATCAATGCGATGAGGATTTGAACTCCTTGATAGGAAGTTACCTTTATTTTCAATTTTTGTGACCAAACCTCTGAGGGAGGTCCACTTTTAAGATATATGTGTGTTTCTGTAATTCACAATTTCTTTATACTATTTTACATATAGACTCACAAATATTAAATTTAATCTACACGATAGATAACCTAATTGGTATATATATTACTATAAGATTTAAGATGGTATAGTCATGTCACTTAATTTAAATTTGTATTTTTTTTGGCAATCTTTATTTTATTGAGGCTTTGTATACATTTGTACAAAAAGAAGACATATGAAAAGCGTACATAATCCAACAGGTTACAGTACAGACTGATGTACTAGCACACATTTTTGCTGGTTAATATACCCTCCCCCAGCCTCGGTCAAGAACCGAATAACCAATAGTAACTGTGGTATCCAAACGTTGAAGCATTTGCCTAACAAACATTAATATAAATATAAAGGTCGGGCCTAGGGTGGTCTATCTGACGAGCTGATCACTCTCTACCGCACCCACTACAGCCGTACACATGGCCTTCTCTAGTACTAGCCCCGTTGTCAAGCACGGTATATGTTCGGGAGCTTCAGTCTCGCACTTTACGCTAATATTGTCATGTCAGGTAACTGTCCGTGTATAGTCAGGTAAAAGTCCGTAGAGAGAGAGTTTCAGTTAATCTGGAGTGCTCCGTGTAAGGCGTCATTGACGTAAAGGATTGTGGGGGGGGGAGTAAAAGGGAGAATCGGCCACGGTTGGGGGGAGAAAGGGGGGGAAGGAGTCTGGCAACACACCCCCAGCCCCCATCCCAGCTCCGAGTTCCCAGTCGGCTGCCCGCCTACTCGGTCTCCCGCGCTCATTGTCTTGCTGATCTAGGGGCCATGTATTCAATCCAGGGAGCCCACAGTCGGGTGCATTTCTCCCCTGTCACCCGCAGGTTCGCCGTGAGGCTCTCCATGTTGTAGATTTCCTCTACCACTTCCATCCAGTGCGATAACGTTGGTACCGCCTTCATCTTCCAGCGGGCCGGAATCAGGCTCTTGGCGGCATTCAGCAGGTGTCTCGTGAGAGACCTCTTGTACGCACCCAGGGGCATCGTGGTGTGGTGGAGGAGCATTTGGAGGGGCTGCATCGGAATGTCTGAGTCCAGGATCTCCCGTAGTTTGTTGTGTATTTGTTGCCAGTAGGCCGCTATATGTGGGCATGACCACCAAATGTGACAGCTGGTCGTGGGTGTCAGACCCATACGGAACAGCTGGTAGGGCGTCCTGTACCAGCCTGTCATGAGCTTGTAATTAAGCTCCTGCAGTTTCGCACTGGTCGCACTTTGATGAGCTAGAATGTGAATCTTCTCCCACACAGAGTTCGAAAGGGTGTCTCCTGTGGCTTGTTCCCATTTAGACTGATACGTCACCGGAGGGCACCGGATTGTGTCTAGTAACATGGAATACAATGTAGAAATGCCTTTCTGCAAGTGCATCTCTGCTGCGCAAAGGGCCTCAAAGCGGGTCAATTCTCTGTATACTAGCTGCTTGCCCGGTAGGGAGTGATAGTAGTGCCGTACTTGTTGGTATCTGAAGCGGGTTATCCCTGTTGGAAGTGCCTGGGAAACTAGAGCTTCCATGGGTTTCAGATGTCCTCCGGAGCACCAGTCACCCAGATACGATTTGTCCGGGTCACCCAATGCCACTACATCTCATGTCGCCAGGCCTCCCGCAATCTCAGGGTTGTAGACCAACGGGGTCAGCGGGGTCGGGTTGGTCGTAAGTCCCAGCTTGTATCTTATGGTGGACCACACCTGTAGGGTTGCTCCTATGAGCGGGTGCATCCGAATGTCACTTGACTGCATGAGTTTCAGGAGCCACGTGACCCACGGGATACGTCCCCGAGCCTGTACGCGTTCAAGGTTGACTCACTGCTTTGCTGTGTCGGGCACATGCCAGTCCACGACCCGGAGGAGGTGCGCGGCCTGGTAGTAAGTTTGGAGCGAGGGCAGGGCCACACCACCTTGGCATTTTGGTCGGATCAGCAGTGTATGTCGGAGTCTGGGAGCGCCCGCTGCCCATCCAAATTGTCTGACGGCCGTGTCTAGGGTGCGGAAAAAGGTCCTAGGGATGCGGATGGGGATTGTATAGAACAGGTACAGGAGTCGCAGCAGGAGTTTCATCTTGACAGCGTTTATCCTCCCAAACCAAGACACACATGTCGCCCCCCATATCTTCATATCCGCTCCCAACGTCGCCAGCATGGGCAGATAGTTTTCGGGGAACAGCCTGGACAGATGTTCCGTCAGCCATATGCCTAGGTATCTTAGTCGCCGTGTACACCACCTGAAGGGAAAATTCGACCTCAGTTGGACCGACAGGCCAGGGGGAAGAGCAAGTGGCATAGCCTCCAATTTATCCGCATTCAACTTTAAGTTGGAGAGTGCCCCGTATGACCGAAATGCCTGAAGTAAATTTGGGAGTGTCACGGTTGGGTTTGCAATAAAAAATAACAGATCATCTGCGTAAGCAGCTACCTTGTGTTCACCGCCCCCCACGGTGAACCCCGTTATACCCACGTCCCATCTGACCGCCGCCAGAAACGGTTCTAGCGTGAGGGCAAACAGAAGAGGGGACACCCCTGCCATGTTCTGTTGCTAATCGAGAAAGAGGGGGACAAGGCTTCGTTTATCCTCAGGCAGGCCTTCGGAGTCGCATATAGTGCCGCTATCCAGGTCTGGATATGGGGGCCAAAGCCCATCTCCCGAAGAGTATCCCTCATGAACTGCCAATCCACCCGATCAAAAGCCTTCTCAGCGTCTGTGGAGAGCAGGAGGCCCCCTTGGGCGGTTGTCTTGATGGAATGCATGAGGTTGAGGGCCCTGATCGTATTGTCTTTTGCCTCTCGTCCCGGGATGAACCCAGTCTGGTCTGGGTGTACCATGTCTGAGATCACCCCACCCACCCGGAGTGGGAGGATCTTCGTGAATAATTTGAGGTCCGCATTGAGGAGGGAGATGGGTCTATACCCAGCGCACGATGTAGGGTCTTTTCCATCTTTCGGCACCACTGCCACCGTAGCCATGAGGGTATCCTCTGGAAACCTCCCTCCAGAATGGAGTTAAGGCTCGCTAGTAGCTCCGACAGGAGGATCTCCCCGAAGGTCCACAGGCATCGTACCGGGAAACCATCCGGTCCTGGGGCCTTGTTCACTTTTGCAGCTTTAAGGGTGCCCGTAAGTTCCTCACCACCCTCCACCCCCACCCAACCCCTCACACACATACCGCGTCACAATGACCCAGGTCCACTTCCCGCCAGTGACCTGTCAACAGCATAAGAGTGACCCATCCATTTAAAGGGGCAGAGCCCGCTGGGCCACCCCGTTCCAGTGAACCCCCGGGTATCCCGGTCTTGTGCGCCCTCTACCCACCCAAAGCCCCAGGGAGGGAGCTCAACTCTAGCTAAGCCAACTGCCCCAGCAGGGGGTAGGGGGGGCAAGGGACAGGGGAGGGGGGAGGAGGGGAGTGTCCCAATCTTTGTTGTATTGTCCTCCGTTCATCTCGCGGCAGGGGGAAGAGGGGGGGGGAGGAGGGGGGGAGGAGGGAAGGACCATCCGGCAGATCATGGACCACCACCCAACCTAATTACTACGACCCACTATGGCCAAACACGATGCCCAACCCCAGTACCTTCATGAGGAGCAACCTGCTCCAGTTGGTAGACCGTTTACTCCTCAGCGCCAGCAGGGCCTCCCAGCATTCTCGTGGGGGGCTCCCTCACCCTCGGTTGTTCCAGCTGGGGGCTCTGATCACCTGGTCTTCCACTTGGCGCCAGCGGAGTCTCCAGGAGCCATTTACGGGTGCGTATGTGGGGAATTCGGAGGGTCCTCAGCGTTGGGGTGACATCATCAGGCCAACGAATATGTAGCCATGAATTCCCATGCTTGATCTGAAGGCTAAAGTGGAACCCCCAGTGGTAGGGCACACTCTTCTCCCGAAGGGCAGCGGTAATGGGCCTGAGCGCTCTCCTGGCATCCAGCATCAGGCTAGACAGATCCTGGAACAGTGCCACCTCAGCGCCCTGGAACATGATCCTGTCAGTGCCCCTAGAGGCGGCCATCAGAGCTTCCTTCAGTCTATAGGCGTGCAGGCAACACAGAACGTCCCTGGGTTTCCCATCCTGGCGTGGAGGGCCCAGGGCTCTGCGAATCCAGTCAAATTGAATGTCTTCCGGGCATTCTCGGCCCAGGATGTGTCTGAAGAGGGTCCGGGCCGTGTCCTGCAGTGGAACCACGTCCGGCTCCGGTAGTCCTCTAATCCGGATATTCTGGCGACGGCTGCGGTTCTCCAGGTCCTCCACCTGTCGCCTCAGTGTCAAAAGGAGGTTCTCCTGCCGTGTGGCAGCTATTTTGGTGGCCCTGTGGTGGGAGCGGCTCGCCTGTGCCTCAGTCTCCAGGGCGTCCACTCTCACATCCACAGCAGAGAGGTCCGATCGTATTGCAGAGATCTCCTGCCGTACTGCCGTTCGGAATTCCTGCAGCAGTCCATTAGTGTCTGCCTTCATAAGCATAAGCATATGTGCAGAGATCCGGGTAAGTTCTTGGTGGATCAAACTCAGCGCATCACTCCGGTCTCCCTCCTCCGACGAAACTCCCGCGCTTTCAGTCCCTGGGGATGCCGGCGCCATGTTAGCTGCTGGCCCAGCTCCTCTAAGGACACATAATCAGCCATTGTGCCGGTGTATCTACGAGGTGAGCCAGTCGAGGGTGTCCCGTGGGGCATAGATTTCTTGTTTCTGACCATGGCAATGCAGCGGTTCTCTCAAATAATCGCTATTATTAGGCCAAGGGCACAGAGCTCTGGCACTACACGTCTGCTCTCATGCTCGGTCCGGCCACGCCCCCTTTATTTTTTTTAAAGAACAATTATAGTCACTTGTTGGATTTCTCAATATACACATGGCTAATATTATGGGAAGAATTTTGATGAATGTAATGAAGATTTGACTATTATGATAGGGAGTTATTTTCACTTTCAAATTTTGTGACCAAACCTCAGCAAAGGGGTGCAGTATATACATTTCTGATTGAAAATAGTGTAGATATCACTTTCATCCGGGAAAGCAACTGGGTTGAGACCAAGGAATAGGTGGAGACTTAATGAAACTCTCTTGGAATCAGAGCACAATATTGATAACTTGTCATCTGAATTAGATAATTTTTTAACTATTAACAATAATGATGAAGTTTCCACCACAACATTGTGGTGTACTTTTGAAAGTTATGCAAGGGGCCTAGTGATAAAATTGGGTTCAGAATCAAAACGAAGAGAAGAAGGAACTATACAGGAGCTAAAGATTAAATGAGCAATTAAAGAACGGTTAAATAAAGATATGGATAACAACGAGTTAGTGCTAGAAATAGCTAGCCTAAGGGAGTCTATTAAAGAAAGAATATTTGATACAGTAAATAGAAATATCACCTTCCTTAACCCCTTAAGACCGGAGGGCGTACTATTACGCCCTATTTTAGGCGGCTCTAAATGCCGCCGGGCGTAATAGTACGCCCTCTGGTCTTTCTATACTTACCCGGTCGCCAGCGGTCCCACGCCGGCGATCGCGGTTGGGGGGAACTCCCAGGGAGCTCCCCGCAGCACGTCTGACCCTCTGGCAGCCCCCCACAATCACATAGCCGGGTTAGCTGCCTCCTGCATTGCAAGCAGGGGGGCTGCCTGTAATGACAGGTGGTCCCCATGCTGGCTGGAAATAAAATGAATAAAATTTAAAAAAGTTTAATAAGTGTAAAAAATATATATATATATAGATACTTAGATCATATATATATATATTATTATTATTATTATTATTGCCATTTATATAGCGCCAACAGATTCCGTAGCACTTTACAATATTATGAAAGGGGATTTAACTATAAATAGGACAATTACAAATAAACTTACAGGAACAATAGGTTGAAGAGGACCCTGCTCAATCGAGCTTACATTCTATAGGAGGTGGGGTGTAAGACACATTAGGACAGGAATGTGCAATCAAAAAAGGTGGGCTGCCCTTTAGGAGAGGCAAGACACGGGTATGTGAGGTAGGGGTTAGTCTTGGAGACCATAAGCTATCCTAAAGAGATGGGTTTTAAGGCACTTCTTAAAAGATGCAAGACTAGGGGAGAGTCGGATGGCGGTAGGCAGGCTATTCCATAGGAAGGGAGCCGCCCGCGAGAAGTCCTGCAAGCACGAGTTGGCTGTACGGGTGCGGACAACGGACAGGAGGTGGTCACGGGCAGAGCGGAGAGACCGAGAAGGGACATACCTGTGGATCAGTGAGGAGATATAAGAGGGGCTAGAGTTGTTCAGTGCTTTATAGGTGTGAGTTAGTGCCTTGAATTGACTCCTATAGCACCCAGGCACACAGGAAGCCAATGTAAGGACTGGCAGAGGGCTGAGGTGTGAGAGAACCGACTAGAGAGGAAAATCAGTCTAGCAGCAGCATTCATTACAGACTGTAGGGGTGCAGTACGGCTTTTGGGAAGACCAAGCAGGAGAGGGTTACAATAATCCATGCGTGAAATTATTAGAGCATGGACAAGCTCCTTGGTAGTATCTGGTGCAAGAAAGGGGCGGATGCGGGCTATGTTTTTAAGATGGAATCTACAGGATTTGGCAACATGCTGGATGTGAGGCTCAAAGGTGAGACCAGAGTCAAGTATGACGCCAAGACAGCGCGCTTGCAAGGATGGGCTGATGTTGGTACCACAAACTTGAAGGGAGAGCGAAAGAGGAGGATCAGTATTAGGAGGAGGAAAGACAAGGAGCTCAGTTTTTGAGAGATTGAGTTTCAGAAAGCAGGAGGACATCCAGTCAGAGATGGAAGAAAGGCAAGCAGTGACACGTTGCAGGACAGCAGGGGAGAGGTCTGGGGAGGAGAGATATAGCTGGGTGTCATCAGCGTACAGGTGGTAGTGGAATCCAAAAGAGGTAATAAGTTTGCCAAGAGAGGCAGTATAAAGAGAAAATAGAAGGGGACCAAGGGAGCCTTGAGGGACTCCATTAGACAAAAGAGACACTGAATGAGCGTTGGGAGAGATAAGAGGAAAACCACGAGAGGACAGAGTCACAGAGACCAAGCGATTGCAGAGTTTGAAGAAGGAGAGCATGATCAACGGTGTCAAAGGCCGCCGAGAGGTCAAGAAGAATTAGTATGGAGTAGTGGCCTTTGGATTTAGCTGCGATTTAGTAACTTTGATAAGGGCAGTCTCTGTAGAGTGGAGAGGGCGGAAGCCAGATTGAAGGGGGTCAAGGAGAGAGTTGGAATTTAGGAAATGAGACACACGGGTAAAGACGAGTCTTTCCAGAAGCTTTGAGGAAAAAGGGAGAAGGGATATGGGACGGTAGTTAGAGGGGGTGGATGGGTCAAGGGATGGTTTTTTTAGTATAGGTACTACAGTGGCATGTTTAAGGTCAGCAGGGACGATGCCAGAAGAGAGCGAGCAGTTGAAGATGTGTGTTAGAGAAAGCATGAGACAAGCGGAGAGAGATCTGATAAGGTGAGACGGGACAGGATCGAGCGGGCAAGTGGTGGGGCGAGAGGAGCAAAGAAGAGCAGCCACCTCTTGGTCAGTGACTGGGGAGAATGTCTGAAGGGTAGGAAAGGCATGATCAATGTGTGATTGAGAAACAGAAAGGCAAGGAGGGGAGAATTCTTTCCTTAGCTGTTCAATTTTGTCAGTGAAGTAACATGCAAAGTTATCAGCAGTAAGGTTGGTTTGGGGGGTGGCCACAGCGGGGCGAAGAAGAGAATTAAAGGTGTCAAAGACGCCTGGGGTTGCGGGAACATGAACTAATGAGAGAGGAAAAATAGGACTGTTTGGCAAGGGCAAGGGCTGCACTGTATGAACACAGTATGAATCTATAATAGAGAAAGTTTGACTGGGTGCGAGACTTCCTCCAGGAGCGTTCAGCACACCGGGAGCATCTTTGCAGGTAGCGCGTTGATTTAGTATGCCATGGTTGGGGGCGGGTCCTCCTTGAGGTGCTTGTTTGGAGTGGCGCTGCAGTGTTCAAGGCAGATGTAAGAGTAGAGTTATATATGGAGATGGCCAGTGAAGGACAGGATAGGGAAGGGATGGACAGCAGTTGTGAATCAATGTCAGCTGACAACTGTTGGAGATCAAGAGAATTAAGGTCCCTCCTGAGTTGAGGCTGGTTGGGCGGAGGTTGTTGGGTGAGGGGGTACGTGAGAGCAAACGATAAGAGGTGGTGATCAGAGAGAGGATAAGGAGTGTTGCAGATATTAGATACTGTACATGCATAAGTGAAGATTAGGTCAAGGGTATTGCCAGCTACATGGGTGGGAGAATTTGCCCACTGTGATAGCCCAAGGGAGGAAGTAATTGAAAGTAGTTTATTGGCTGCAGAGGTCAAAGGTGGGTTTATAGGAATATTGAAGTCCCCGAGAATTAGGGATGGGATGTTAGAAGAGAGGAAATAGGGTAGCCAGGCAGCAAAATGGTCAAGGAAGAGAAGAGGGGAACCAGGGGGACGTAAATAACAGCAATGTTAGCAGCGAAGGGTTTGAAAAGGCGAATTGAGTGTATTTCAAATGATGGGAAAGAGAGGGAAGGGGGGGTGGGAAGAGGTTTAAAAGAGCAGTGAGGGGAGAGGAGAAACCCAACACCACCACCATATATTATACACATATATTATATACATATATACATATAACACCACACCATATATTACACACATACACACACATATACTGTCTAGATGTATTTTACTATTAATATATATATAATTATATATATATATATAAGTATCAAATTACACGTAGACTGATACTGATTACATATATATAATTATTGTTATATATATTTATATATAATATAAAAAAATTAAATATGTAAATATGTTAAAAAATAAAATTAAAAAAATAATTACAAAAAAAAATTACAAAATATATAGATGTGTGTTATTTCATTCTAACTGTATTGTGATATTAATATATATATATATATTTATATCAAAATACACATAGAACAAAATAATATATATATCTATATACATAAATATATACGTATATATCACTATATATATACCTATATATAAATAAAAATATTTTAAAAAAATTATATATATATATATATATAGATATATATTCACATACGTATATATATATACATATATTAATTCTACATATATATTTCTGTAATATTTTTACATAATTAGGTATCTTAATTAATTACAATTAGCGGGACCTACCTGACAACCCATGCCGGAAGTAAAGGGAATTTAATTTGCTAGCACTATATTTAACCCTATAACTTTCCAAGACACCATAAAACCTGTACATGGGGGGTACTGTTCTACTCGGGAGACTTCGCTGAACACAAATATTAGTGTTTCAAAACAGTAAAATGTATTACAACGATGATATCGCCAGTAAAAGTGAAGTTTTTTGCATTTTTCACGCACTTACACGGACGATATTATTGCTGCAATACTTTTTACTGTTTTTAAACACAAATATTTGTGTTCAGCGAAGTCTCCCGAGTACAACAGTACCCCTCATGTACAGGTTTTATGGTGTTTTCAAAAGTTACAGCGTCAAATATAAGGCTTGTGTTTCATTTTTTTCACATCAAAATTCGCCAGATTGGTTACGTTGCATTTGAGACC